CATGGTGAAACCCTGTCTCTACTAAAAATACAAAAATTAGCTGGGCATGGTGGCGCGTGCCTGTAATCCCAGCTACTCAGGAGGCTGAGGCAGGAGAATTGCCTGAACCTAGGAGGTGGAGGTTGCGGTGAGCCGAGATCGCGCCATTGCACTCCAGTCTGGGTAACAAGAGCGAAACTCCGTCTCAAAAAAAAAAAAAAAAAAGAAGGTGTGATGCGGTACTGATAAGAGTGTGTGTTTTGTGTATTTAAAGTGGAGAGTTCTATAAATGTTAAGTTAACTTGTTCCGGATCTGAGTTCAAGTCCTGGATGTCGTTGTTAATTTTCTGTCTCATTGATCTAATATTGATGTTGAAGTCTTCCACTATTATTGGGAAACTTAATAATAATATATGTGAGTTTAATACTGCCATTTAATGTTAGCTGGCTGTTTTGCCCATTAGTTGATGTAAATTCTTCATTATGTTGATGCTCTTTACTTTTTGGTATTTTTTGTATTTTTTAGAAAGGCTGATACTGGTTGTTCCTTTCTATGTATAGTGGTTCTTTCAGAAGCTTTTGTAAAGCAGGCCTGGTGGTGATGAAATCTCTGAGTGCTTGCTTGTTCACAAAAAAAATTATTTTTCCTTCGCTTATGAAGCTTAGTTTGGCTGGATGTGAAATTCTGGGTTGAAAGTTCTTTTCTTTAAGGATGTTGAATATTGGCCCCCACTCTCTTCTGGCTTGTAGGGTTTCTGCTGAGAGATCTGCTGTAAGTCTGATAGGCTTCCCTTTGTGGGTAACCTGACCTTTCTCTCTGGCTGCCCTTAATATTTTCTCCTTCATTTCAACCCTGGTGAATCTGACGATTAGTGCCTTGAGGTTGGTCTTCTTGAGGAATATCTTTGTGGTGTTCTCTTTATTACCTGTAGTTGAATATTGTCCTGCCTTGCTAGGTTGGGAAAGTTTTCCTGGATAATATCCTGAAGTGTATTTTCCAGCTTGGATTCATTCTCTTTGTCACATTCAGATACACCTATCAAATATAGATTAGATCTTTTCACATAGTCCCATATTTCTTGGAGACTTTGCTCATTCCTTTTTATCGTTTTTTCTCTAATTTTGTCTTCTCATTTTATTTCATTAAGTTGGTCTTCGACCTCTGATATCCTTTCTTCTGCTTGATCAATTCGGCTGTTAAAACTTGTGCATACTTTGCGAAGTTCTCGAGTTGTGTTTTTCAGCTCCATTAATTCACTTATATTCCTCTCTAAATTGTGCATTCTTGTTAACATTTCGTCAAACCTTTTTTCAAAGTTCTTAGTTTCTTTGCATTGGGCTAGAACAAGTTCTTTTAACTCACGTAAGTTTCTTATTATCCACCTTTTGAAGCCTGCTTCTGTTAATGGAACACACTCGTTCTCCATCAGGCCTTGTTCCGTTGCTGGTGAGGAACTGTGATCCCCTGCAGAGGGAGAGGCGTTCTGATTTTGGGTATTCTCAACCTTTTTAGGCTGTTTTCTTCCCTTCATTGTAGATTTATCCATCTGTGGTCTTTATAATTACTGTCTTTATAATAGGGTTTCTGAGTGGACGTCCAACCTGTTGATTCCCAGTGCCAGAATTTGAGCAACCCATTGCGCTGGCTAAAACAGTGGCATTAAGATTGATGGTACTGGGCCAGGCGCGGTGGCTCACGCCTGTAATCCCAGCACTTTGGGAGGCTGAGGCGGGTGGATCACGAGGTTGAGAGATCGAGACCATCCTGGTCAACATGGTGAAACCCCGTCTCTACTAAAAATACAAAAAATTAGCTGGGCATGGTGGCACGTGCCTGTAATCCCAGCTACTCAGGAGGCTGAGGCAGGAGAATTGCTTGAACCCAGGAAGCGGAGGTTGCAGTCAGCCGAGATCACGCCATTGCACTCCAGCCTGGGTAACAAGAGACTCTGTCTCCAAAAAAAAAAAAAAAAAAAAAAGATTGATGGTACTTTTCTGACTCTGCACCAAGAACCGCTGCACCGAGGCAAAACCGCCTTACCGGCCACAAAAGACACGCTGGCAACCCGGGGGGCTCCTTCACTGGGAATCTCCTGGTGTATCAGCAACAAAAATTCATCTGAAAGTGTGGTGTCCTCTCGTTCTCCGTGCTTTCACTGGGAGCTACAATCCCGAGCTGCTAGTGATCAGCCATCTTGGATTTCTCTCCCTAGTGCAATTCTTTGTTCAAGACGCTTAGAACCCGGACACCCTCCACCGGTAACATTGTGATCTGTTTTAATATTAATGCTGGTCAGCTGTGCCTGAATTCCAAAGGGAGGAGAGTATAATGAGCCATGTCTGACCACCTTTCTCCCACTGTGGCCTGAATTAGTGTTTCAAATTTACTTTAGAATATCCTTGGCCAAGAGGAGGGATGGCTGAAGGGCTTAACAGTTTTTTTTTTTTTTTTTTTTTTGGAGATGGAGGTTTGTTCTTATCACCCAGACTGGAGTGATCTTGGCTCACTGCAACCTCTGTCTCCTGGGTTCAAGCGATTCTCCTGCCTCAGCCTCCTGAGTAGCTGGGATTACAGGAGCCCACCACCATGCTCAGCTAATTTTTGTATTATTAGTTGAGACAGGTTTCACCATGTTGGCCAGGCTGGTCTCGTACTCCTGACCTCAGGTGATCTACTTGCCTCAGCCTCCCAAAGGTATTACAGGCTAGAGCCACCACACTCCGCGATGGGCTTAGAGGTTTTTTGCTTGTTGGTTTTATGGTTTACACCAGGAATATAGAGGTACTGCCTTCACCTTGAAAAAGAGCATTGACAAAACTCCCACAATAACATCTTACTTCATGGTGAGAGATTAAATGTGTTTCCCTTAAAACAGGGAACAAGGGCCTGGTGCAGTGGTTCACACCTATTATCTCAGTGCTTTGGGAGGCCGAGGTGGGTGGATTACCAGGTCAGGAGTTCAAGATCAGCCTGGCCAAGATGGTGAAACCCCCATCGCTACTAAAAATACAAAAATTAGCCAGGTGTGTTGGCTGGTGCCTATAATCCCAGCTACATGAGAGGCAGAGATAGATAATTACTTGAACCTGGAAGGGGGAGGTTACAGTGAGCCGAGATCACACCACTGCACTCCAGCCTGGGTAAGAGAGTGAGACTCTATCTCAAGGAAAAAAAAAAAAAAAAAAAAAAACCCGAAACAAAACGGAACAAGGTAAGGATGTCTAATGTTATTATTTTTATTTAACAGAAGTCTGTACAATAAGGAAAAAAAAAAAAAGAAATAAAAAGCAGTCAGCTTAGGGGAAAAAAATTCTCTATTTGCAGATGAAATTATTATCTATGTAAAAAATCCCAAGGAATGTATACAAAAACATTTACTGGAAGTCTGCACAATAAGGAAAAGAAAAAGAAAAAGCAGTCAGCTTAGAAAGAAATAATAATAAAAGAACTCCCTATTTGCAGATGAAATTATCTATGTAAAAAATCCCAACGAATGTATACAAAAACCCCCTAAAATCAGTAAGGGTGTTAAGCACGATGGCAGGTTACAAGATCCACACACAAAACCAGTTATTCAGAATGCAGCAGAGAGAGACAAAAAGTTGGAAAATACAGACGGTAAGTTAAAAATAAAGGCTTCTTATGTTCGAATTCCAGAAGGAGAGAGAAAACGAGACAGGCATCTGAAGAAAAACGACTGCAATTTCCCAAAACGGTTGGAAGATAACAACCCGAAGATTATAGAAATCTAAAGACTTCCAAGCAAGACACAAAACAAAAGAAGAAAAAATATCCCACTTAGACTTATGATAGTGAAATCGCAGAACAGTGAAAGATGGAGAGCTGAGGTGGGAGAAGTCAAGGGCCAAGTGAAACGATTTACACCTTGGACTTAACAATAAAGGCAAACTTGTACTTGCACAGTTTAGTACCTGCCAAACCCCTTACACACATTAGGTGACTGACTCCTCACAGCAACTGTATTAGGTAGATTCTGTTACGTCTCTCTTTCCTTTCTTTCTCCCTTTCGATGGGAGTTTCACTCCTGTTGCGCAGGCTGGAGTGCAACGGCGCGATCTCAGCTCAGTGCAACCTCCACTTCCCAGATTCAAGCAATTCTCCTGCCTCAGGCTCCCGAGTAGCTGGGATTACAGGCATGCGCCACCACACCCGGCTAACTTTTTGTATTTTTTAGTAGAGACTGGGTTTCACCATGTTGGCAAGGCTGGTTTAGAACTCCCGACCTCAGGTGATCCACCCGCCTTGGCCTCCCAAAGTGCTGGGATTACAGGTGTGAGCTACCGCGCCCCGCCTACTGCTTTCATGCTACAGATGAGGGAGTTGAGATTCGGTTACTTGCCCAAAAGGGCACACTTTATCGACGTAGAGGTAGGATTTTGAACAAGGTAGTTCTTGCTCTAGTTTTGTGCCCCTAACCGCTACACATACTTGTCTCTCCAGAGGGCAATGGGAAAATGGGAAGGCACTGAAGGACTTTAAACTGGGGAGTGATAACATTTGTTTTTGGAAAATCCCAGCCCCACCGTGGGTAGTGGATTCGATGGGGCTAAGGGTGGAAATAAAGAAACTGTTGGAATAGCGTAACCCCAAACAGGGAGGGCCTGAATGACCTCGGGAGGTGGCAGAAGGGGTAGGCACAAGCAAATGGACTTGCGAGCTCTTCCGGAACCGAGTCCATAGGGGTTGACCTGGGATCACGTTTAACTCCGGGTGGAGAGTGAGGATGATAACCCGGTTTCTGACGCGGACAATTCGGTGGATAGTGAAAGTCATTCACGAGGTGGAATGAGGCTTGGAGGCCTGAGGACGAGCTCGGCTTTGGACACGCTAGATTTGCGGCTTCTGTAAAACCGGCGGCCAGCCGAGGGGCAAGAAACGGCGCAATGGGCCGAGACCAGAGGCCACGTCTGTAGAGCTCTCGGAGAAGGATCTTCGACAGTCGCCGCCGGAGCGCGTCGCCGCGCGCGTCTCCGGAAGCCGCGCGCGCAGGCGCAGTGCGGGGGGCGCCCCCTGGCGGCGCAGGGACCGCCCCCAGCCTCGCGCCGCCGCCGCCCGCCTCAGCCCAACATGGCGATGCACAACAAGGCGGCGCCGCCGCAGATCCCCGACACCCGGCGGGAGCTGGCGGAGCTCGTGAAGCGGAAGCAGGAGCTGGCGGTGAGGGGTTCGGACCGGGGTTGCCCGGCATGGGGTCCCGCTCCTGCCCTGCCACCAGGCCCCAAGCCTGGCCGCGCCAGGCCGTTCGTTATTCCGGGGGCGCGCCGCGGCGGGCCGGGAGCTCGGCGGCCTGAGGCGGGTTGCGCATTCCGCGGCCCGCCGGCAGTTCGGCTTCCGGGCTGTGCGAATCCGGAGCGGGGAGGGAGCCGGGAGCCCGGAGCGCGGGAGGGGGTGGGGCACCGGCCGCCGCAGGAGGGGGCGTGGAGGGCGGATAGTGCCGGGGCTCTGGGCTCGGGCGCTAGGAAGGGCGAGCGTCCGTGAGCCGCGGTGGTGGGCGAGGCGGGGGAGTCCGTGATCTTTGCGGGGTGTGGGGTGGGGAGGGAGGCAGGTCTGGGAGGGGATTTCAGTCACCCTGTCTGGACTTTAGAGGATGGTGGGGAGCGTGTTCTTTTTGGTTCTAGGAGTAGATCCGTTGAATGGAGGTTTTTGATAGACAGGGATGTGATGTGTTTGGGAGCATCCAGAAGGTGACAGGGGAGGGAAAAAAGAACATATTCTGGAGAATTCGCAATTGTGACAGGCATCCAGGATCCCGTGCACCCTGGTGGCTAAGCTCTTCCTGCCCTCCCGTCTCAGCTTGAGCACCCGGGAGGCCCCCCTCACCTGAAGCTGCCCTTCCAGGTTTCCATAGCAACTGGCAGTCCAGTGCCGGCGGGCTCTCTGAGCCTGCGAGAGGGGAGCAGGGGAGGGGATTGACGCTGAAAGGCTGCTCACCCTTCCCTCCTCTGGTAGCGATACCTTTTGTGCGTGGGAATGGACATCGCCCAAGTTCTGCCTTAGCCTGGGTTCTTGACTCCGGATTTCTGTGAACCCTTTGAAGTATATGCAACATTTCGCGCGTGTGTGTGTTTTTCTGGGGCCATGCTTTATACATTCAGAGGTCTGTCATCCCTAAAGGTCTAGACTGGCTTAGTCCTAAACGTCCTGCCCGTCCCGGTATCATCCATTTCTCCACAAGGGTAGTGTGGGCAAGCTTGCGTTTTCAAATCTAATATCAGGATTTCATTTGGGTTAAGACTTAAGTGTTTGCATGTACAAGGCATTATTCATGTCCCTGCTTTTCATCTCTCAGGAGACACTGGCAAACTTGGAGCGACAGATCTATGCTTTTGAGGGAAGCTACCTGGAAGACACTCAGATGTATGGCAATATTATTCGTGGCTGGGATCGGTATCTGACCAATCAAAAGTGAGTGTTGGAAGCCTGTAGTGTCCCTATTGTGCTTTAGTAACGTTGGTTTGCAGGTACTGGATGCTCTTAGTAGCAACTTTGTTGGAGGCAGTAGTAAAGTGGTGGTGTGGTTTGCACTTGAACTCTTGGACTCTGGCTCAGGCCCTGCCTCACTGAATAATTTTAGACAAAGCTCACATCTGTAAAATAGTAAAAGTGGGCCTATGGCACAGGGTGGTTGTGTGAGGCTTAAATGAAATGTAGCATATGACAGTATGTTGCACAGCAGCACTCTATTACATTTTTTACACATTTTAATCAGTCATCAGTTCTACCCTCACAGTATTTTGCTTTTCTTTTTTCTTTTTCTCCAGAGTAGCTGGGAATTACAGGTGCATGCTACCATGCCTGGTTGATTTTTTAATTTTTAGTGGAGATGGGGTGTCTCCATGTTGGCCAGGCTGGTCTTGAACTCCTGACCTCAGGGGATCCACCCACCTCAGCCTCCCAAAGAGCTGGGATTACAGGCATGAGCCACTGCGCTCGGCTAAAAGTTCATTTTTTCCCATTGTGATTAACAAGCAATTTTGGATGCTACATTTTCAGATGTTATGAATATACTGCTCCCTCTAAATTTGTATTCAGTTGTTAGGTATACACTGTTGATGCTTATCTGATTCCATTATTACACTGGAAGTTGTAAAATGGTGGTTCTCTAATTTTATTATTCCCTTTATACGTTTATTACTGGCATTCTGAAGAAGAGTCTTCCTTTTTTGTCTTCTTTTCCTTTCGTTCTCCCACATTTGTCCCTAATGTGGTCAGAGGGAGCCTCCTCAAGCTGGTTTGTTTGTCATTTTGACATGACCCTATTACTCTTTGAGCATTCCATTGCTTTCATGGCCCAAAAGATGTCCCATATTTACTTTGTGCATTTTCTGTCCCAGACCTGGTATCAGCCATTCCTCTTAGGAACCCTGGTTCTTTCTTTAAATTTGAGAATTAAGTTTATTTAAGAGACACTCATATCACTGATCTGTTCTAGACTTTTAAAATAATAAACATTAAAATAAATACATATGGGTTGTGCACAGTGGCTTACACCTAGAATCTCAGGCTGAGGCAGGGCAGATCACCTGAGATCAAGAGTTCAAGACCAGCCTGGCCAAGAAGGCAAAACCCCATCTCTACTGAAAATACAAAAATTGGCTGGGTGTGGTGGCTCACACCACCTTTAATCCTAGCACTTTGGGAGGCCGAGGCGGGCGGATCACCTGAGATTGGGAGTTCAAGACCAGCCTGACCAACGTGGAGAAACCCTATCTGTACTAAAAATATATAAAATTAGCTGGGCGTGGTGGCACATGCCTGTAATCCCAACTACTTCAGGAGGCTGAGGCAGGAGAATCACTTGAACCCAGGATGCAGGAGGCTGTGGTGGGCCGAGATCACGCCATTGCACTCCAGCCTGGGCAACAAGAGTGAAATTTCGTCTCAAAGAAAAAAAAATTAACCAGTCCTGTTGGGGTGCACCTATAGTTCAGCTACTCTAGAGGCTGAGGCAGGAGAATTACTTGAACCCAGAAAGTGGAGTTTGCAGTGACCTGAAATCACACCACTGTACTACAGCCTGAGAGACAGAGTGACACTCTGTCTCAAAAAAAAAAAATAAATAAATAAAAAATAAGGCTAGGCGCAATGGCTCATTCCTGTAATCCAAGCACTTTGAGAAGGCCAAAGTGAGTGGATTATGAGGTCAGCAGTTCAAGACCAGCCTGGCCAACATGGTGAAACCTGTCTCTACTAGAGATAAAAAAATTAGCTGGGTGTGGTGGAATGCACCTGTGATCCCAGGTACTTGGGAGGCTGAGGCAGGAGAATTGCTTGAACCCGGGAGGTGGAGGTTGCAGTGAGCTGAGATTTTATCATTGCACTTCAGCCTGAATGACAGGGTGAGACTGTCTCAAAAAAAAGGCTGGGCATGGTAGCTCATGCCTGTAATCCCAGCATTTTAGGAGACCGAGGTAAATGGGTCACCTGAGGTTAGGAGTTCGAGACCAGCCTGGCCAGCATGGCAAAACCCTGTCTCTACTAAAAATACAAAAATTAACTGGGCATGGTGGCGGAGGTTGCAGTGAGCCAAGATTGTGCCACTGCACTCCAGCCTGGGTGACTACGGCATGGTGGCAGGCACCTGTAATCCCAGCTACTTGAGAGCCTGAGGCAGGAGAATCACTTGAACCCGGGATGCAGAGATTGCAATGAGCTGAGATTACGCCATTGCACTCCAGCCTGGACGACAGCGCAAGACTTTATCATACATACATACATACATACATACATACATCATTAAATGAATATGTGAAGCAACTAAGTCTCGTGTCCCACAGTGGGGCATATACCACGTATTGGAAAACATTGTTTTCTGTGTTCAGCATAAAGGTCGTTCGGGCCATTCTAAGTGATATGGAGGCCTCCTGTATGGAACATGAGTCCTGGGGCATCCCCAGCTTGAGCCATAGACATAGCTTGGTGCTCATAATGAGTTTCTTCTGTGTGTTTTAGAAACTCCAATAGCAAAAATGATCGAAGGAACCGGAAGTTTAAGGAAGCTGAGCGGCTCTTCAGTAAATCCTCAGTTACCTCAGCAGCTGTAAGTGGTGGCAGTGGGGGAATCTTTCTGTGGGCTATTGTTGGGGAATGTGAGTTTTCTCTTTCCTTTCCTATGGGAATGCTCTTCTGAGGTCTGTGGTCACTTTTCTAGTAACTGGTGGCTTTTCTTTTAGGCAGTAAGTGCATTGGCAGGAGTTCAGGACCCGCTCATTGAAAAGAGTAAGTTTATGTTTTTATGTTTCTCATCAGTTTATTTTTAAGCTACCGTAGCTCTTATATTTAATTCATCCGGTTGTGTATCTGAGGACTGCATTTCTTATGCTCTTTCCTCTTCTTCCTAGAAGTTATTAAACTTTTAGGGTATCCTTAATCATGTTTTCTCCACTTCCCCACTTCAGACAAGATCTTACTCTGTAGCCCAAGCTCTGAAGTACAGTGGCATGATCATAGCTCACTGCAGCCTCAAACTCCTAGGCTCAAGCAGTCCTCCTGCCTCAGCCTCCTAGGTAGCTAGGACCACAGGCATCTGCCACCACACCTGGCTAATTTTTCAATATAAAAGAGACAAGGTCTCTTTTTTTATATTAAAAAATTTTTTTTTAATTTAAAATTTTTAAAGAGACAAGGTCTCACTGTGTTGCCCAGGCTAGTCTAGAATTCCTGGCATTAAATCATCCTCGAACTTAAGCATCCCTAAGTGTTGGGATTACAGGTATGAGCCACCATGTGTGACCAATCATATTTTTTCCTTTTGAGGAAGAAATTACGTAGCCCTTTGCCTCTTCTGTCACATGAAGATTGGCTTTTGCATTTCAAAGATACAAAGCTATATTTTCATTCCTGGTAAATCTTATAACTTCTTAGGGAATTAAAATTAAAACAGTAACTTTTACGGAAAATTTCAAATATATCTTAAAAATCCTCAAGTACCCATGTACCCAGTTTAATAATTCTTAGAAAATGCTCATTTTGGCCCGATATAGTGGCTCATACCTGTAATCCCAACACTTTGAAATGCAGAGGTGGGAGGATTGCTTGAGCCCAGAAGTTCAAGACCAGCCTAGGTGACAAAGCAAGACCCTGTCTCTACAAAAAAATTAAGAAATTAACCAGGCTTGGTGGCATGTGCCTGTACTCCCAGCTATTAGAGAAGCTGAGATGACAGGATCGCTTTAGCCCAGGAAGTTGAGGCTGCAGTGAGCCATGATAATGTCCCTGATCCAGCCTGGGTGACAAAGTGAGACCATGTCAAAAAAAAGAAAAGAAAAGAAATGGTCATTCTGTAAATAGGATGTACCTGTCTGTTCTTAAATATAAAATGGAAAATGGAGAGACAGTACCCGCTTACTTTGTAAATTAATTCTGTCTTAACATTTTTTGTAGGTAAGCCATACAGTCTGATTTCCAGTGATGGATTATAGATTTGTGCATTTATCTTTCTGAGTCAGACTCAGTGTAGCTTTATTGGACATTGTCTGTGTATTTCATCACGTTGAAATACAGCCTGTTCTCAGTATTACTGTGTACTTCTTTTCAGGTGGTATATCTTGTTGGATCTAGTTCTTTTGTTTGCATTGGTGCAATGATATGAGGAAAAGGGATTTTAGTAGTTTGGAAATTAGAAGTACTTAATCATTATCTCTATGTACAGATTTCTAAATTTGTGGCTCTGCCCTCAGCCTTCTTCCTGGCTTTAATCCTTCATTTCCTTTTTTTTTTTTGAGATGGAGTCTTGCTCTGTTGTCCAAGCTGAAATGCAGTGGTGTGATCTCAGCTCACTACAGTCTCCACCTCCTGGGTTCAGGCAATTCCGCCTCAGCCTCCCAGGTAGCTGGGACTACAGGTGCACACCACCATGCCCAGCTGATTTTTGTTTTAGTAGAGACGGAGTTTCACCATGTTGGCCAGGCTGGTCTCCATCTCCTGACCTCAGGTGATCCACCTGCCTCAGCCTCCCAAAATGCTGAGATTATGGGTGTGAACCATCACGCCCAGCCTTAAGCCTACATTTCTTTCTAGACATTTCCACTCATACCTACTTGAACATTTTTTTTTTTTTTTTTTTTTGAGACGGAGTTTCACTCTTGTTACCCAGGCTGGAGTGCAATGGCGCAATCTCGGCTCACCGCAACTTCTGCCTCCCGGGTTCAGGCAATTCTCCTGCCTCAGCCTCCTGAGTAGCTGGGATTACAGGCACGCGCTACCATGCCCAGCTAATCTTTTGTATTTTTAGTAGAGACGGGGTTTCACCATGTTGACCAGGTTGGTCTCGATCTCTCGACCTTGTGATCCGCCCGCCTCGGCCTCCCAAAGTGCTGGGATTACAGGCTTGAGCCACCACGCCTGGCACTTTTTTTTTTTTTTTTTTTTTGAGACAGTTTCACTCTTGTTGCCCAGGCTAAAGGGCAATGGGGTGATCTCAACTCACTGCAACCTCTGCCTCCCAGGTTCAAGCGATTCTCTTGTTTCAGCCTCCTGAGTAGCTGGGATTACAGGCACATGCCACCATGCCCAGCTAATTTTTATATTTTTAGTAGAGATGGGGTTTCATCATGTTGGCCAGGCTGGCCTTGAACTCCTGACCTCAAGTGATCCACCAGCCTTGGCCTCCCAAAGTTCTAGGATTACAGGTATGAGCCACTGTGCCCAGCCCAGACATTTTATTGAAAACAGAATTGTTCTATTTCCTTCAGAATTTGTCTTCACACATTTTTCGTGATGGTACTTCACTTTTCCCTCATTCATAACTCTGTACGTGTCTTTGACTCCTTTCTGCCAGCCTCTTCAACTATACCAAGTCCTTTTGATTTTTCTTTTACTGTGACTGTCTACTAAATCTTACTTCTTTTTAATTAATGCCACTTCTAGAATATAGAGCTAGATCATATTTTTTGTAGAGGAATAAAACTGGTTAAGGAACACCCTGGACCTCACTCCTATGAGTTGAGATGGAATGTTATCTGACTTACTTTGACTTAGTTTTCTTTCTTTTTTTTTTGGAGACGGAGTTTTGTTCTTGTCATTCAGGCTGAGTGCAATGGCTCAGTCTTAGCTCATTGCAACCTCCTCCTCCTGGATTCAAGCAGCTCTCTTGCCTTAGCTTCCCAAGTACCGTAGCTAGGGTTACAGGCGTGCACCACCACACTGGCTAATTTTTGAATTATTAGTAGAGATGGGGGTCTCACCATGTTGGCCAGGCTGGTCTTGAACTCCTGACGTCAGGTGATCCACCTGCTTCACCTCCCAAATTGCTGGGATTACAGGCGTGAGCCACTGGGCCCAGCCCTGACTTAGTTTTCACAAGAGCCTGTAATCCCACCTTGGCTTAGCTGATCATTCAGTATATGGCTGTTTACCTGCCTACCTGCAAGAATAGCTGTACTCAGGTACTTGTCAGGAAAAGAATCAAAGTTACTGCTTTCAGAAGCTTGACTGAGACAAACGCTTATGTACTGAATATTTTTGGCTGAGCACAGTGGCTGGCTTATACCTGTAATCCCAGAACTTTGTGAAGCCAATAGTGTCAGCTACTCAGGAGGCTGAGGTGGGAGGATTGCTTGAGCCCAGGAGTTCAAGGCTGTAGTGAGCCATGACAATGTAGCCTGGGTGATAGAGTGAGACCTTGTTAGAACAAAACAAAACAAAGCAAAAACCTAAAAAGGCTGGCGAGGTGGCTCATACCTCAGAACTTTGGGAGGCCGAGGTGAGAGGATCTCTTGAGCCCAGGAGTTCAGGACTAGGCTAGGGAACATAGTGAGACCCTATCTCTACCAAAAACAAAACAAAAATTAGCTGGATGTGGTGGCACACACCCTGTAGTCCCAATGACTCCAGGAGGCTGAGGCAGAAGAATCAGTTGAACCCACTAGGTCAAGGCTGCAGTGATTGTGCTTGCATTCTAGCCTGGGTGACAGTAAGACCCTATTTCAAAAAAATAAAAATTATAGTTCTCCTTATGTATTTTTATCTTTTGTTACATTTGCTTTTGTGGTCATATCTGAGAAACTATTGCCTCACCCGGTGGCATCTAAGATTTTTTTTGAGACAGAGTCTCTCTCTGTTGCCCAGGCTGGAATGCAGTGGTATGATCTCGGTTCACCACAACCTCCGCCTCCTGGGTTCAAGTGATTCTCCTGTCTCAGCCACCCGAGTAGCTGGGACTGTAGGCGCACGCCACCATGCCTGACTAATTTTTGTATTTTTAGTAGAGATGGAGTTTCACTATGTTGGCCAGGCTGGTCTCAAACTCCTGACCTCATGATCATCTCACCTTGGCCTCCCAAAGTGCTGGGATTACAGGTGTGAGCCGCCACACCCGGCCTGGCATCAAGGATTTTTAATTTTAGCTCTTATGTTTATGTCTGTGATCCATTTAGAGTTAATTTTTGTGTATAGTTTGAGACGGTGGTACAGCTTCATTCTTTTGCATGTGAATATCTAGTTGTTCCAGCACCATTTGTTGAAAAGACTTCTTTCTTCATTGAATTGTCTTGTCATCCTTGTTGACTGTAAGTTGACTGTAAATATAAGGGTTCATCCTGGGACTCAGAATTCTAGTCCCTTGATTGATATATTTATCCTTATGCCAGTACCACACAGTGTTGATTACCGCAGATTTGTGTAGTATGTTGTTTTTTAATGTGAAATCAGTTTTCTTGAACATCAGAAGGGCAGGATTGTCAGTGTATTTTTTCTGTAATAGCTTCATAGCTCTAGGCAGAGATGTCCAGTCTTTGGCTTCTCTGGGCCGGGCCACATTGGAAGAAGAGTTGTCTAGGGCCACATGTAAAATACACTAACACTGGCCAGGCACTGCGACTCATGCCTGTAATCCCAGTACTTTGGGAGGTGGAGGCTGGCAGATCACCTGAGATTGGTAGTTCGAGACCAGCCTGGCCAACATGGTGAAACCCCATCTCTACTAAAAATACAAAAAATTAGCTGGGTGTGGTGACGGGCGCATGTAATCCCAGCTACTCGGGAGGCTGAGTCAGGAGAATCCCTTGAAACTGGGATGTGGAGGTTGCAGTGAGCAGAAATCATGCCATTGCATTCCAGCCTGGGCAGCAGGAGCTAAACTCCGTCTCAAAAAATCAATCAATCAATCAATCAACCAACCAACCAATAAATAAATAAATAAAATGCACTGACACTAACTATAGCTGATGAGCTAAAAAAAGAAAATCTTACAATGTTTTAAGAAAGTGTACACATTTGTGCTGGGCTGCATTCAAAGCCGTCCTGGGCTGCATGAGGCCCATGGGCCTTGGGTGGGACAAACATGCTCTAGAGTTTCCTTTTCTGTTATTTTCCTAAAATGTGTTCAAAAATAGGTTCAAGGCCGGGTGCAGTGGCTCACGCCTATAATCCCAGCACTTTGGGAGGCCAAGGCTGGTGGATCACGAGGTCAAGAGATCAAGACCATCCTGGTCAAAATGGTGAAACCCGTCTCTACTAAAAATACAAAAATTAGCTGGGCATGATGCTGCACGCCTGTAGTCCCAGTTACTCGGGAGGCTGAGGCAGGAGAATTGCTTGAACCCAGGAGGTAGAGGTTGCAGTGAGCCAAGATTGTGCCATTGCACTCCAGCCTGGGTAGTAAGAGTGAAACTCTGTCTCAAAAAAAATAAAAAATAAAAATAAAGTTCAAAAATAGGGTTTCATAATTTCTGAGATTTGGCTATTTCTTGCTTCTGCTTTTTTGAGATTATCTCTTTCCTTTATTTCTTTTTTTTTTTCGAGACGGGGTTTCGCTCTTGTTACCCAGGCTGGAGCGCAATGGCGTGATCTCGACTCACCGCAACATCCGCCTCCTGGGTTCAAGCAGTTCTCCTGCCTCAGCCTCCTGAGTAGCTGGGATTACAGGCATGTGCTACCATGCCCAGCTAATTTTTTGTATTTTTAGTAGAGATAGGGGTTTCACCATGTTGACCAGGATGGTTTTGATCTCTCGACCTCGTGATCCACCCGCCTTGGCCTCCCAAAGTGCTGGGATTACA